CAAAATCGTATTTTCAGACCTAAATCGACAGGTCCCGACCTCTAAATGAAATTTAAAAAATGTATAAAAATTGGCAATAAAATTTCTCATAAAAACGAATAACTTTGGCCCTGGTGTTTGAGAAATCCTATTTTAAAAGCGCTGATTTTGTTATCAAAAGGAATAGAGAATTATTACTAGCAAATTGGAAACGACTATTCAGGGAAGCAGGTTTGGTTAACATATCGCACACGATCTTCAAAAGTGACACAACTCAAAATTTGGCATTTTTGAAATTATACATTAAAAATCTGCACAGAGCTTTTATTTACCTTTCAGCCAAATCTGAATCAAATGTTTGTTATAATTTGTTGAAAAAACCTAAGGTAAAGTCTCTCTTGCCCATATGATTAGCATATGATATGAAATAGTTTTTTCGCATTTTCTGACGAACGCGTAATTTTGATTTGTGTCACTATTGAAAATCGTGTTCGATATGTAGATACTTACACACATACATACATATGTATTTAAATCAAAAGGACTTCTCTTTCTTTCAGTGGGACTGATTCATCAAAAATGTCGTAAGCGTATTTATAATTGTGAAAAGCGCAATTTAATTTCAAATTTCATAAGATTGCTGCGAATTGCAGTGTAAATTTTATATAAAACGGCTAGAAAAACATTTCAGTCATAAAAGTACGCTTTCTTACAAAATTTGCACAAAACAGCAACACCAAACACCTACTGTATTAGTGCGATAAGTACATTAACCTCACTCAATCCATAAATATTTACATGTATACAGTGTACCATGTATATACATCCATATTTGCCCACAAGTTGCCTTTATAAGCGCTCAACATCGTGCTCATGCGAAACAACAACAAAGTCACGTGCAAGATAGCACGCCAATACAAAACATTTCAGAGAGTTTTTATTGCCCATACTATGGGCAAGCATGTCCGACAATGGGCGACTCTCAAAAGTAAACAAAAAACATAAACAATATATTTTTATACATACATATATTAATCATAATTTGTATATTCAGAAGAGAGAGAGAGAGAAAGATCAATCGCGTATGTGTGAGTTTGGTAGCGGCACAAAGTGGGTCATTTGTGTGCACAGTGAAACCTCGATATAACGAAGTTGAAAGGGTTGGTTGGACAGATGATTCGTTGCACTTGTAGAATAACAATACATACATCGAAAAATGGAAAATTTTCGCCAACATATTGTGAATTCACAACGTGAAGGGGTCTGAGTCAACACTTCGTTATATATAGACATTTGTTAACGGGAATTCAACCGTCTATATATTCCGAAGGTTTTCATGCTCAATATTTTCAGGGGGCAATATTTTTCAGTGGACAACCAAAATTTTGTTATATTGAGTTTTTCAGTTCATAAAGGTTCGTTATTTCGAGGTTCCGCTGTACTAATTGGACATAAGTTCGCTTTCGGATAAATTTCGACGCACTAAAAGTCACGTCATACACGTCATACCACCACATAAATTTGGAAAATTGCATCAACAGGATATACTACATACATACATACATACATATGTACCGAGCATGCGAACGAGCGTGCATGAGTACAGGTTTTGCGAATACAAAGTACAAAGTACGTCGATTTCCTCACGTACGCCGGCTTAGTGACCTCCGCTGAAGTTTTTACACCTTCCACGTCGGAACTTACCACAGGTATAGAAACATACATACATACGTATCTACATACATACTTACATATGTACATACTCCTATCTTAGTGACAACATTTTAAGGAAATTATATTGAGTAGTTGACGTGATGAATGACTTGATTAAGGCCACTGATAAAAGTATCTATATCTGTACATACATATGTTTGTATGTATAATAACGTGGGCTGAAAACCCGTTTTTTTTAAACAAAACAATTTGTGTGAAATATGACAATATTTGGTGAATGTCTTAGGCTCGCCCAATACTTCGATTCTCCTCAAAAAAGGTTCATATACCAAACTATTTCGAAGACAATTGCAATTTTAGTAAAAAAATGTATTAAGTAATACATTTATTAAATTTTATTTTTTGAGCACGTTGAACTTTAATGAACCTGGGCGAGCCTAATAGTGATATTGACGAAAAATTGTCATCTTTCACACAAATTGTTTTTTACAGCATAATGAACCATATTTTTGCTACTAACAATCAAAATTCTAAAAAAGCAAATTTTCGGCAAACATATGTATGTACGTATATATATCTAATAATGAGAATTTCCAATTTGTTTGTTCGTTATTACGCTGCAGAGAGTGACGTTAGCTGATACCTAACTTTAGTCTGTTTACGCGAACACTTTTAACTGTATATTTTGTTCGTAAAAAGCTAACTACATTTGCGGGGCGATGGCTAGGATACCTCTGCATTGTATGTCAATTAACTTGTAACTAATTATTTTTGGACATAAATTATCAATAATAAACATTTTATTAATTTTTATTTTTTTTACATTTTTATTAATTTAATTTATATTCAACATTGCATATTTGTTTATTTGTTTACATATTCTGCAGTAGGTGGCCCTATATTGAAATTACGTCAGCCATAACGTCAAAATGCTACTATAAAATTTCGAACTTCATTTTATTTATCCTGAATTCGAAAAAATTGTGAAGTGTAGAAAGAAATGTATTCAAAGTATTTTTTTTGTACTATGAGGATTCTTAAACAGAAACTTGTAAAGAAAACAAATCCCGACTGCATCTGCATGACTCCTGCACGACTTTAGAACTCACTTTAAGTTGGTTTTGTCATAGCTAATTAATAGTGAGGTATTTATCGAAATCCCGCCAAAAAGCTAATTATAAGTTGGTAATTTTTAACAATTGATAATTTTTCACTGCAGGGTACCATTACTTATCAGCAAACCTTTGTGGGCAAATACACAATAGGTGCGTTCGTTTAAAATCTCCAGCAGAAACCAACCAACTGCCAAATTCCGGCGCAATGTCATCTGTTCTCTCACAAGAGAGAAATATCCAAAATAGTACGCGAACAGAAAATTTGCAGAAACTTGCAAGTTAGACGAACAGCTGATATAATTTTTGTTTACATACAAAAGTGTAAAATTTAAAACGTACGAAAAGTCATCGCAAAGTGTTATACTGACACAGTTTATTGATTAAACAAATAACTACTTATTTCTTACAAGTTTACTTAGTCGCATTTTGTAATTTTTATCTTCCAAACCATCAAATTCAATTTTGTGATTTGCGTAAATTCCTACCAGCTGTTTTTGATCAGCTGTTTCCCTGTTGGCAAATTGCTGTTGGCAAAAATTTTTCCAACAGAAACTAACAGCTTCCCCTCAAAATGAAATGCCACTTTGCTCTCTCAATTTCCCCTACTTTGCAAGTTTTTGCGTACGCGAACGCAAAAACCTGTAAGTTTTGGTTAAACTTGAACAATTAACTGCTACGCGAACGCACCTATTGTATGCATTTACATATGTATGTATGCATTCGTGCTTCTTGTTATCTAATTTATCATTGCGCACTCAGGAGTGACTTTTGTGGTAAAATAACGCCTAATTTGGATTAAAAAAGGGTAAATTATTATATAACATAATTGTCTTTAAATTATGGCTAATAATTCAGGATTTAAACTCACATCCGTTATGTTTGATCACTTTGTATTTTGCGATCCGTTCATATTTTCAAATAAAGCAGTGCCACTGAAAAAAGAAACGCCCTTATCGACTTGAGTTTCAACTGCTTTATCGGTCAAAAGCAGTGCTGATCTTTATTTGAAAGCGTTGCATACTTTTTGGGTGGATATGTTAGGGAAAGGAAAGTGTTTATAGCCCAGTTATGCGTACTTAGCATTGCATGAGGGTTAACTGGCTCGAAAATTGGACACTCCAGAGTTCTGGAGGGCTTTGATTTCGTCCCTGAATGGACAAATTACTGCGCCACCGAAATGGTTGCCGGTCGCGCCTTCTCTGCCTACAATCCCTCAAGAGGTAACTGTAGGAAGCGAGCCGTGAACTTCTTCACGGATGGACCAAAAATAGGAGGCAGAGTTGGTGGAGATATATTTGCTGGGGGCTCTCAATAAAAACTATGTTCAGGCTTCCGGACTTCTATAGTGTCTTGCAGGCTGAAATAGTTGCTATAAAGGAAGCGGTAGACTCACTTAAGGTGCAGCTGGAACGTCTCGGCCCTCCTGCGGTTCACTTACGCAAGCTCGTCGCGCGTTGGGCTAATACTAGGGCATGCGCAATTGCAAGATACTTCTGGAGAGAGCCGAGGGCGGTCAATGGAGCTCCTTTTGCTTGAAAAGCCTCAGCTCTCCTTATTGAAGGGGGTTCTGGGAGGCCGTTGTGCGATGGGTATTCTCGCGGTAAGCTTATTCGTAATTTCGTAACCGGCTCACAGCGTTTCGTCGGCCAAATTAATTGAGCTTTCGTGGACCATCTCTTAGTTGTCCAAGTGCGTCCCGTGTCTGGGGCAATCACTATAACTAATATAATCTAGGTTATTCTTTAACTCAAATAAAACAGGTTTTTTTTTGTTGTATCTGTAAAAAAAAGAAATTATTTATTTATTAGCAGACATCTATTATTCTTTGTGTTTTTCATTTAGTTGGATGAAGACATCTCTTTTCAGCAGCAGCTATTTATCTTTTGCTTCTTCTACATTTTTTCTGTGGGGAAAAACATTATAAAACTTATAAAAAGCTGAAAAAATGGAAATATTGTCATAACACAAATACATATGCAGTAATAGTAAACTATGAATAAGCAAATATGTGTATGTAAAATTAATACGTAAATTAAAAAAAAAAAAATTAAGTCAAAATTAAAGTAAGATAAAAATATTTTGTGAAACGCATGCGCAAGAGTTGGTGGCCGTTCGACAGCCACACGCCAAGACGCAACGATTGCAACTAAAGACTAATTATGATAATATATACGTATGTAATTTATATATATGTAGAGTAATTAAGGGCTAAATATATATTTTTTTGTATTGTTTTTTTGTTTTAGTTTATAAAATATATTTGCGTATAATAAACGATTAGATGGGTTTAATGTATGAGATTTTCATGAATTTGTAAATGTATGCAAATGCAGTTGTATGCTTAAATATGAATGTATGTATGTATGTATGTATAACTAATTGATTAATGAATAAAATTATTTCAAGTCAGTAAATTACTAATTTGTTAAACGAAATGGAAGAATTATAGATTTTTTGTGGAGTAGTCAAAGACTAAAAATTTTTGAGAAGCAACGCTACGTAGCGAATTTTTGTTGTACTTTTTTTCAATTGAATAAAAATGAATGCCAATTGTTCTTTATGTAGAACCATAAAGAAAATCCATGCAGTACATAATTTTGAGAGGGAAAGCTGCGCCAAAATTTTAGAAAGTTCTTTCAATAGCCATACTTTAGGGTAGAAAGTTGTTGCGTATGTATGTACGTATGTATGTATGGGTGGCAATGTGTCTGCAAGCTTTTGTAAGCATTTAATAAAAAAAAACGATGCCATTAGATGTACTTACCTTCACATATGGAGCGTATGTTCTATAACGTAGGCATTGATATGTATCTTGATATGGGCGGCAGCTTGGCTTGAGATTTCATAGTTTCACTAAACACTAATTTAAAGCTAAAAATTATTGTACAACTAAATGTTACGCTTAATTACGGCAACGCTTAATGCTACAGAAATGCAGTCATAGTAGTCAACCTAGATTCGCTCAGCGATTATTGCGTTTCATTGCAGAAGCTTTCTCTACTTCCACACTTCCTCCTTTCCTCTCCATCCCACCTTACACCCTCCTACCGCCGGCTGTTCAACATCTGCAAGTAGTACTCGCAGTTGGTGCAATACACGGCCGGCGCAATTACATGCCGCTTTCGGCACAAATTACACTCCACCGCCTTGGCCGAAGCCTTGACGATGGCATTATTGTAGACGCGTGTGGGAATAGCGGTCACATTAACGCTACTATCTGCGGCCGCCGCCNCGGCGCAATTACATGCCGCTTCCGGCACAAATTACACTCCACCGCCTTGGCCGAAGCCTTGACGATGGCATTATTGTAGACGCGTGTGGGAATAGCGGTCACATTAACGCTACTATCTGCGGCCGCCGCCATAGCCATGACCGACGGCAGACCATTCTGTTGTGCTGCGGCTGCGGCTGCGGTGGTGTTGGCGTTGCCCCCACCCGCTGTGAGATTCATCGGTGGTTTCGGTGGTAGCGCCGCTGTTGAGTTGTTGTTGCTTCCATTACAAAGCGAGTCCGTTTCGCCTTTGGTGCCCGGCTCAAAGCTTACCTTCTTCTGATGCGATGCCTTGGTGGTGTGTTGTGGCTGTATGTTGACGCTCATGGCTAGCGCGGCGGCTGCGCTCTGCGGCACGGGAAAGTAAGGTGAGGGAGCGGCGCTACTGCTGTGATGGCTAGCTGTTGGTGAGGGATAGGGATGTTGTGGCTTCTGCATGCTGTTGGCGGCCGATGGCGGGAATTGTTCGCTGGCGTAGCCGTGTGGCAAAGGCACGCGCTGATAAGGTGATGGCAAAGGTGGCGCGTCCAATCCTGGTACGCCTGGATAGTAGGCGACGTTCGGTGTAAATTGTTGTTGTTGTTGTTGTTGTTGTTGTTGCTGCTGCTGTTGTTGTTGTTGCTGCATATGTTGCTGATGCTTCTGCAATTGAACTGAGTAGCTTTGTTGCTGCTGCTGCTGCTGCTGCTGGTGACTTAGGTGGCTGCGCGGTATGCTCACATAGCTAGATTGCGCGTCCAAATGTTGTTGTTGCTGTTGTAATTGCTGCTGCTGCTGCTGTTGCTGAGCTGCTAGCATCTGCATATGTTGCTGCGTGGCAACATTAGCGATGCCGCTCATGCTGGTGCGTGCTGCAAGCAAAACATGATTCGCGCCGCCGCTGTTGTTGTTGTTGTTGTTGGCATGCATGCGCTCATCAAATTGTGAATGCTGCTGATGCGCTGGTGGTAAAGGTGGCGGCGCCAGCTGTGCAGCGTACTGTTGTAACTGGTGTTGTTGTTGCATGCGATATATGTCCTGCATGGGCGCGTACACCTGTCCTGCTGGCATGTATGGCAGAGCCGACTGCTGTTGCAGCTGCTGCTGTTGTTGCTGCTGTATCTGTTGCTGCTGTTGGCGCAGCGCTTCCAATTGTGGTCGCTGCAACTGCACATAGCGCTGCATCTCTTGGCCCTGCAGTGGTACAGCGCGTCGATCAGCACCAAGCATTGGCGACTGCTGCGCCAAAGGAGGTGCCATTGGCGGTTGGTGTTGTTGTTGTTGCACTAATGGCGGCAGCGGTTGTACGACACGCGGTTGCGCTTCGGTTGGCAGTCGTATCATGTTCTGTTGTTGTTGTTGAATGAGCTGCGCTGTCACATTCTCGTTGGGATTTTGCGCCGTACGTAGCACGCGTTCCAAAATCGGATTCGGTATGAAGTCGTCGTCCTCTTCATTATCCGCTGTTGCAACGAGTATCACTTGATCGCAGAAGGAAACGCTCTTCTTCTTGACGCGCTTGGGCAAAGCAACAGATGGCCCGTTTTGCTCCGCGCATAGTTGTGGCTGTTGCTGTTGCAGTTGTTCTTGCGGCTGCTGCTGATGCTGTACAGCAGGCGAATGGTTCAAAGTTTGCTGCACCATTGTGTTAAGCATTTCGACCTCACGCAACTCTTCGGCGATCTGCGACTGCGGTACTTCGTATTTCGGCTTGGGCAATACCTGGTGTGGCGGCAGGCGCTGAAGGCGTTGTGGCGCGCAGTCCACTTCATCTGCCTCGGGTTTGGGTGGCAGTGGGGTGCCGGACGTGGCTGTTGGTGACATAACGTTGTGCTGCATTGGCGGCAGGCCATTCATTTGCGTACGTATCGGCGGCTTTGGGGCATTGAGCAGCTCCTGTGATGAGTAGGAGCGCAGCGGTTGCTGTTCACCTGTACTGCTGGCCGATTTAGACTGCTCGAAGCGGTGCGTCAGTTCGCGCACGCCGTTGGACTGCTGCGTCAGCTGCGCGACTGGCGAATCTGTGGCACGTTGTGCATTTCTGAGATCAGTTTGCTTGGCCTGCAACTCCTTGAGCCAATTAGAGGGATCGCATGTGGGCGTGGCCTGTTCTTTGCGCATTTTCATGAGCTGGTGACGCTGCTGCAGCTGTGCCAAAATGCTGCTGGTGCCCTCCAGAGTCTCCATGTTGCGTTGCTGTTTGTTCGCTTCAAGCACCTGTATCTGATTGATTTGATGATTCAGTGGCTCGAGATCGATCTCCGGCGGTGGTGGTGGAAAATCTTCGCTGGCCTGTCGCGAGTGGCAAACTGACTGCGGTGGGCTCGGATATGGCGGAAGTTCAAGCGGAACTTCGGTTGGATTACTGCCGCTGCCATTGCTGTTGCCATTACTTCCGCCAGATATGCCTTCAACTTCATCTCTGCCCAGATCAGCCGTTGTGGTGGCATAACCGTTGTGATGTTGGTACTGACCCGCGCTCACGCCGTTCGATGTCTGGTACATGTTATCCTTCGGCGGACTCTGTTCGTTGTGCACCTGCGCGCATGTCGTGATAATGGTCTGGCACGAGTCTTCGCTAATGGAAGTGTTTGAGCTCATGACGGAAATGTTAGAGAGATTTGCTTCATGGTGGAAGTGTTGTAGCACTGCTGCGTCTTGCTGCTGCTGCAAAGCCAATTGTTGCTGCAGTTGTTGTTGGGTGAGCGCGGAGCTCGTGCGCATTGGTGGTGGTGGCGCGACCTTAGCGACTACAGTCAACTGGCGTCCGCTGCCGTGGAAGCTCTTACGCATAAGCTTACTGCGCTCCAAATTCGGATTGGCATTGTTCGAGTCGCGATTTTCGAAGTGACCCTCCGAGATGTAGCCGCTCATGCCGTTCTTGCCATTCAAACCCACAGAGCTGTCGTCCACCGAAGTGGCTAGTGGTGGAGGCGTCTCTTTCTGGGTCGTTGCATCATCACCTGCCTCGGTTAAATCGGGCATGGAGCGATTTTTGCGGCGTATTAGGCCGCCCATCAAAAGCTTGCGGCGAATTTTATGCTGCTTCTTTCCATTCTTATCTTTCTCCTTCTTTTCGTCTTTCTCCTCCTTGTGCTTCTTGAGCGTATCCTTCGCGTTAACAAGCAATGTTTCAGTCAATGAGAATTCACGCGTCAGCTTATTACGATCTTCGCTGCGGCTGCGCTTCTCCTTCTCCGACTTGTTGCTGCTTCGGCCGAATAATGAGCGGCTCTCGCGCTCAGGCTTAGCTGCCACCGGCTGTGGCGATTCGTATTCGATGGCATTGTCATCACTAGCATTACCTACCGCAGCTGCTAGAGTCTTCAAGGGGCTCTTCTTCTTGGGCAGCGTGGCATAGATTTCGATGCTCTTATTTGCGGCTGCGGTGGCGGCTGCTTGGGCTGCCTGTGTTGGCGTCTTGTCCAATGTCTTGTCCTTACTATTCTGGCGCACATGTTTCACGCTGCTGTTGCTGCCCTCACGCATATGCTTCATCTCCGGCATGGCATCCATATCAGCGCCCTTCTCAACCAAAATACGGCGGTGCAGACTGCGTGCGCGCATCACGCACGTGTTGTGTTTCATGCGTGCAAATGTCATGGTGTGTGGATTGCTGTAGGGGGCATCCATGGCGGCGCGTGCCCGCCCAGCGGCTGCGTTGCAAAGTACCAGTGCGGTCTCTAGATCGTGTGACTCCTCGACAAGACGTGATTTCTCTAGCAATTGGTCGGCCTCGTGGCAGAGCTTTTCGCAATCACCGGAGAGTGTTTTGGATCCACCAGCCTCAGGTATCTTGGCGAGCTGTGGATTCAAATGATGCTTCGGCGGATACGAGTCGGTTGAGCTCAGCGAAAACGAGTCATAGCCGGGGTCGTAAGGCAACCCATTGCGTGTGGGACTCTGCGGCACGGCGGGCGGATTGCGTTTGCCCACCAAATACAGGTAAGGATTATCCAAAGTGGTGGACGAAGCGGAGCTTGCGCTATTGCGATCGCCTGACCAGTTGCCCGAGTCGCGACGACGCGGCTGATTTAAGTGATCGGGCATGGTTAGACCATCGCTTGGTGGTGAGGAGCCATTCGAAGAACCGCCGCTGACATGGCCGGATTCAGCACTCTGACTGCGTTGCAGCTGAAGGTGATACTTGCGTACCAGCTGCGCATTGAGTACTTTGCCGATTTTGTGCGTTAGCGTGTCGACGTCTTTCCCATCTGCTGGCTGATTCGTAACACCGCCACTGTTATTGGCAAATATTTTGTCCTGCACGACACTCAAATTCTGATACTGTTGTGCATTTAAAACATGCTCGACGGTCTTACGACTAATGTAAGCATCGGTCTCATCATTGCTGATTGTCGGCGTGGCTGCGGAAGCGCCGGAAAAGATACTCTTCTGTATGACACTCAAGTTCTGATAGTCGTTGGGTGAACGCAGTGGTGTGGGCGTAATGGCACGACGAGTGTTACCCAAGTTGGGCTTCTCCGGTGTGATGGGACTTGGTGTGATAGCGCGGCGCACGATGGTGGATTGATTGGTCTCGGGTGCGAATTGTGCACCCCCCGATGGTGGCTGTGGTACGGCGTAGAGCAGCAGTAGGGGTTGATAGCGACCGCGGCTGCACTTGTCGACAACACCCTCCCAGTTGGGACCGACCTGGGTAGAGAGAGAGAAAAATAAAGAAATAAATTAATGAGACATACTACTTAAGAGGTTGCAGAAAAAAGTGAAGTGCGTTACTTACTTCCTTCACATTAGCATCATCGAAGTACACCCACACTTTGAGTTTGGTGTGGAAGAAGAAGGTCGTGTAGTGTTTGCCGTAATACGAGACAATGCCGACCAGTTCGTGTTGTACATTTTGCGCCCAACGCTGTTCGGCGACCTGATGGAAAACGTCCGATAGACGTAAGCTGGTGCCGATTGCTTTGAGTACAGCATGCACTTGATCGGCGGCGGGACGTTCCGAGTCCCACACAATGCCAATAGAGACAACATCGGGACGATTGAGCAGCGCGCGGCAAATGCCGATTTTGGCGCCACAAGCGTTCTGCGAGAAGTGAAAAAAAGCAAGTTTGAATTTAAATAAATTTGGATTAATATTTAAATAAATAGTAGAGGCATCAAAGGAATGTAGGCGCCACTTACTGGACAATCTCTGATGTCACCCATATTGCCAGCGGCGCGCAATAATTGGCCAAAAGTTAGCTGCTGATGATTCTGCAATGCCAAGCTATTTTGTGAGGTCAACGCCGATGCTGACACATAGTGAACCATCTGGAAAGAGAAGGCAAGTAGAAATATGAATTGGTTGTAGCCCAAATATGTGTTTGCTTGTTTTTGACTAAACAAATCTTAGTTACCTATATATGTATAATTAAAAATTATTTGTATTGTAGTATAAAAATATTTCGTTTTAGGGCGTACACAAGCATATGGATTTGACCCGAAAAGGTGTGCCAATAGCTGCGCGCGTGGGCTCATTCATTGTACAGCAGCAACGGCAAACTAACTAACAAACTGATCAAGCGGTCAAGCAACAACAATTTTTCGCTTAATCAAACTCATATAAGACTGAAGTGGAGCTGTTGAACTGTGGAATGAGCTTAAGCGCGGCTTAAAGCAGCGCTTGTTGAACAAATTAAAAAACACTCAACGCTGACCAAAAATGGATAGCCAATTTGACCGCTAGGGGTGAGCAGAACGTGATTGCTTTTTGGTTTTTTGTTTTAGAAAATCAATGCTATAATAGTGTGTTCACACCGGAAAACGCCCACTTGCGAAAAAATTATGCTCTACAAAGTCGGCAAGTGCTGCGGTGTGTAGGTGTAGTTACGTTTAGTAGTCACGCTGCACGTGTTTAAGTGCTTTGACGCGCTTCGACGAGCTTTGATACGCTTTTAATTGTCATTTAATTTAATCTATTCTACTAAATACTCGCATTTTTCATATCGAAATAGACTCAAACTGCATGCGTTGGCGTACAAGCGGGCGAATATGCTCTGGCTGGTGCAACTGAAATCTGAAGTCACAAAAGAAAAGGAAACAAGTCAAAGGCGTGAAGCGCAAGCATATACATACTACATGCGATACATGCGCAACAAGTAAATGAAAGAAATAAATTAAAAAAAAAAAAAATGAATGCTCAAACGAGACAAGAGTTAATAATAGGCGTTAGCGCGTTAGAATTCGCAAATGCCACATATATCATGCGGCAACACCCGTTTGCGCTTAAGTGCTAAACTTTTTTTTTTCTAGTTCTCCGCCACTACCAGTTGACAAATGGTAGCCGCATTTTGTTACCATTTCAGCAAAGTTGTTTATTTTTTTTATTCATAGTCATTGTTCATACATTTTTTAATTCTTTTCATCACAACTAATGAGTTCGGTTCGGGGTGTGTGCCCACATGCTGGCTTATAGAAGCGTTATACTTGTAAACACATAGATATGTATTTTCAATACGAGTTACTACAAATTAAAAGCTTTACAGAAAAGAAATACCGAGCAATAAAAAAAAATTTACAAAACACAAATTCGCACAATCGCATTGAATTGCAAATAAAGCAAGCAAGCTCATGGTCATTTCTCGCGCAGAACGCTTTCGTTTTCACTTGGCAGCTATGTAGTCGCCGGCAGGCAAAAGGCGCGCAAAATCCATTTTGACATGCTTCCCGATTGGCTGGCTGATTGGTTGATTGACAGTGAGTGGAATGGTGCGCGCTAATAATGTGGCACACAATCAGATCAAGAACAACTTTGGCTCGTGGGCGGTGATGGTTGTCAAGCAAGTGAACTTTCGAGGCTTTAAGGCGATTATTGTACGCTTACATGAGATCATTTCATTAGTATTACATATGAAATAATTTTGTAATGATATTTAATTTGGATTGATGGTAAATGTAAAGAGGAAGGAAGGAAGATCACACCAAACTATTAGCGAGTGTTTAACAGGCAGCTGAATTTTTAAAACTCACTTGAGAGTAATGAAAAGCTGATTCTTGATGTATGCCAAAGGATGGTAAGTTTCAGCTAAAATATTTATAGCTCTGAAATTGGCTTTGAAACCATTTAGATGAGTTGCAGTTTAGGTCGATCTCGCGCATCTCCGAAATGCGGTTCTCAACATGGAGTTGCGTCGACTGGTAAACCACCATAAGCGGAAGAAGTGGCAAGAGCAATTGAAGACCTGCAAATTCAACTATAAGTTTCCTATCAAACCTGAGAAGGTGGAAATCATAGACTGTAGTGCTGCCTCGTCGAACACGAAGGTCAAATTTCGAGCGACCAGAAGGGTGCGAAAAATCCGAAAACCTAACCTCCAATATTGATACTAAAACGCTTGGATGCGGCGGGAGAAGAATACCTCACTAACAGCCTCAGTTTGTCGTTGAATGCTTTAATTATTTCTGAACAATAGAAGTTTGGGAGAAACCCTCGAAACCAGCCAACAAATGTGTGCCTTATCATTCATTGACTTTCCTCTCTCTTCATATAGCGAAGACCCATCAGGCTACTCCCAAACTTTACAAGCAACCTGACTCTACCTGAACAGCTCTAAATACTTAACGCCGTAAATGCTCAGATAACTTGCGGCCTTAACCATGTTGGAGAACTAACCTAACAACAACGCTACTTATCGAAAGCCGCCGGAATCGTCTGTCGCTATTATGCTACTTATTATGTGAGGACATTGAGACAATTTCTCTCACACAGGGATTCTAACGGTGGACTGCGAAGTATTTGAATAGTCGACAGTCGTCGGTACATTTTCGAGACAAATTTAAGCAATTTTTACTAAATATCTGGCACACACAACAGCAATTTTGAATAAGGTATCTATAGAGAGCCACAACAAAGTACTCAAATCACAGACCTGTCAAAATATCGCAACTGTTTTCTGATGTCGCCTGAACACTAATTTCAAAACGAGAACTCTATGCTACCAACACCGTTGCGCTGAGCAAGCAATTCCTACTCGGCTGCTATCGTAAGGAATATCTGAACAGACATTGGCTAGAAGTAGAGCCATTTCCAAGGCATATAAGGAGCCATATCTACAAACTCGCGGACCTACATTGCACAAACCATAAATCCGACGTTGTACTGGCAAGCCATAAGCGATATTAAGTGTGAAGGAAAAACGTGATTTCCCGAATTAAACTCACTAAATGGAATGATATGCCTAGCATCGCCAGAAAAAAGTTTAAATCAACAGATTATAAAACTGCGCACACAAAATTTGTCTAGAAATATTGATAGAAAAAACCTGAAATTGTGGTGAGATTTTTATGATGTTCAACTTTTCGTCTTAACTTTTTTTTTTTAATTTCGGGGAACCCTATAATCATTTTCAACTAGTTTTTTTATGCACTACTTATTTACACGAACAGGAAAAAATTTTATATAAACAATTAAGAATTAAAAAAAATCCGGTTCGACAAATCTTGTTTAAATTTTATTAGCTAGTCGGTTTAGGCATGGCTTAGTAGTGTAAAGTCCACACGAAAGTGCGGGACCTGGAAAGTGGTTGCCAAGTAGGCAATAAATCTAAATTATTTAATTTTTAATTTCAAAAAAAAGGAGGAGGTTATCAATTAATATTTTTTTTGATGTATGTTACCATATAACTTTAGACCACGTTAACCGATTTCTTTAATTTTTTAAAGGAAAGGTGCTCCCATACTAATTTTCTTTAGATCCGATCATTGCATCATGCATAAATTAACAGTAAGTACTCTTAAATTTCTATTTCAGAATTAAAGCCGGCTTTGTTTTTTCCTAAAAATTACTTCTAATTTATCATTTTTTCGGTTTTGAACGTAACTTTTTTGATATACACAAATTTGCGTAGCAAAAAATTAGCACAAAAACAGAAATACAAAATCATTTCATTGGCCGATGATTTTGATCAGCCAAGAACACCTACGCCTGTGCTATGATACCATACTTATACGCTACATTTATAGCAGTAGTTAACTTTCAAACTAGTCTGCGCAGAGCACACGAAGTGCCCTTCACACCACTTGAAGCGTATTTATTAAACAATAGCTAGTAGCTACCCAGTAGGAAAAATGGAAATGAATGTATGTACTTTATTTCTAATACACAGCTAACACAGTAGTGATGTGGTTTTGAAATAGTGCCAAATATTTTAAAATGAAACTGATCTGGAATTATAGTTACGAATCATGTTGATGAAGATCTCAACGTTCTAGTGGCAATGAACTATCACAATCGATCCTTTAGGCGTCGTTCATATGTCAGGGTTGTGTTCCATAAGCCGGATACAATATTTTATCGAATGTAATGGAGGCTGTGAAATACATCATACGTGTCACACACAGGCTACTGTGGCAAAATCTGATATTCTACTAGAAATGCGGCATGATAAAGCACAATCACTCATTAACCGACATACAGTGAGTTTCGGAAGAAGAATTAGCATATGTAGTTGTTGAGAGAACTAACGCTTGTGAGCATATTAGATTTAAAATACTAAAATTTTTTTCTTTCTTCAATTAATAACTTTATCATTTGAAATATCAAGGGATCTCCATCTTCCCTCCACGAATGTTCAAAGGCCTTGAAGATAAGTGTAACTAGTTAAAGATGACTGAAAACTCTATTAATTATGGCCACAAATTTATTCGCCATTGATTAAAGGACCGTTTGAACGCAGAAATGACCCTTAGGAGTACTTGAGTTCGTTTTGTTGCTTAAACTGTAATTGTCACCGTGTAGGCTCAAAGTCAAAACAAAAGGCATAAGGAATCTTGTCCCAAAATGTGGCACAATTTTGTTTTCAAAATTTTATGCAGAGATGCCAATCAATTTAGAACCAATCGATTTCCGTTCGCCGTGCTCAGTATAAAATCGATTAGCTAATTATATATCTAGCTATATAATCGGTCGATTCGCCACTTCAACAATTCATTAATCTCTTTTGTCAAACTGTCCTTCAACACAAGATTAATGCTAGCTACAGACAAATATGTGCATAAATATGTACCACATACATTTCAGCTCTTAAGCAAGAAAACTAGAAAAAACGTGTCTTGAAAAAAATCAATGAATTGCAAAAATTCTTTAATTGCTAACAATAAATAAAGTTTCACATGAACGACGCAATACTACAGTGATTTCATTTAGCTGCCATGCATATTTTGTATAGTTTTTTTTTATACATATATATATATTTTTTTTGAATTTCTTAATGTAGTATTTAGTTTACTGAAAAATGCTTGAAAAATAAACTAGCACAAATGCGCAGGTGCTTGGCAGCTACTATAACATAGTTGGCTTGACATCGATCCAATTGAAATTGTTCTCAGCGCATGTGACGTTTGACAACTTCCACTCGAACGTGTTCCACGCTAAATTAAAGCGTTTTAACTAAATTGCTTGTTGCTACTGTGTTAAGAATTTTTATATAAATATTTTTTTTGTTTTACTAAGAAGCACAAATTTTATAGAAACAAAAAAAAAAACACTTAACACTTATTAACTTTATTTATGTATATGCATTTAATTTTTAAGCACTTTTTCATTAGCCCACAGCTCCGCAGTTCAAAATAACACTAGCAAAGACAAAGATGTGAAACTCGTTTAATTTTAATTCGCACTACTTACATAAATATGTACTATAAAAGCAACCAGTTTCGCGTGTGAATGTGCATTGAAGCGCATTTGTATGTACAAAAGTATTTACATATATATTTCTCTAACGTTACATAGTCATGTGCTTGAATGGTAAGTACTAATGCTTATCTGTCTACAAGCCGATTTGTGTTGCACTGTGCGAATGCTACTTTTTTCCATCAGCACATACATACATATTCTTTTCAATGTTTCTTAGCTGTTAGCCGCATGATTTGTTCGCACAAGTAACGACGACAAGCGTTTCGAAAATTTGCATACTTGAACTTAACATCAAATGGCATTTGCAGACTGCAGTTTGGGCGGGGTAATGGCGGCGCGCAAGTGTTAGAGCAACTAACTAGTCTGCAATTCATTGGTAGTGGCGTGCACTTGTAAAGTTGTGGGCGGTTTGTTTTTTTTTTTTTTCTGTGGAAAGGGGTTTAACTGCTTTTGTATGCCTTTTTGTGAAACTGCAAGATTTTTTTTTATTTTAAATTAGTTTAACTTGTTTCGGTGCACTCATGAATGAATAAAATTTTACTTCGCGCTTACTTTTGCAGAACTAGTAGAGCAATAATTATGACAAATTGCGTCTATATATAAGGTCACCCTATATTGAAAAATTTTGCCTATGTATTTTTTTCAAAGAAATTTTTCTTATATTTTTATAATCATACAAATCCAAGTCTCAAAATTTGTATAAAAATTAAAAAAAAAATCAACAAAGTGTCATACAAATTTCACACTTTATATTCAGAACATTAAGAAAATTTTTGGTTATGCAGTTTAATAGAGCCCATTCAATTCTAGTATGGAAAGTGCAAGTTTAAAGTGGCTACAAACTATCGGTCATTTTTTGATTTTTTTTTCCTTTGACGGTGTTGCGCATTTTTTTTTTCATATAACGCATTTCGCAATTTATTTAATATTGGAATTGAATAGGATTAAAAAAACGGCATACCCCAAAATTTTCAAAAAGTTCGAAATAAAAAGTGTGAAATTATAATGAAATTTCGTTGATGTTTTTAAACTTTGATTTATATAGTTTTTGTTATAAAATGAATTATATTTTTTTAAAAAGATTTAATTTAAAATAAAAATAAAAAAATATCTCAAAGTCTAAGGGCCGGTTGTTCACGCGGTGCGACTCAATATCGTCACAGATCGCTACTGCCGCAGCTGTTAGGAAGACGAGGTGAAATCATCTCATCACTTCCTTCTCAGCTGTCCGGCATTCGCTAAACTAAGGTTGAAGCACCTCGGTGCGTATTTCTTCAACTCACCCGAAAAGCTCTTCGGAGTGGACATGATAGCTTATCTTAGTCCTAATACAGAGTATTTTCAGTTACCGTTCAAAGAACTTGTGTAATATGGTAACACAATGTACAATATAATTAATGTCTAAGTGAGTCCCTCCGTGCGTGGTCTGCCGCAACAACCTAACCTACCCTCAACAACTATTCGAGAATAAGTATCCAAAATGAACTTCAGTGAACCCCACATATTCGGACCATATATTTTCATTTGTTTTTTATGCGTTTTTAATTCTTCTATGCAGGGACCGAAAATAACCGTTAAATTTCAATTTTTATTTTTAGATTTCGATCAAGTAGAATCGTTAAATTTAAATTTTTATTTTTTTCGGTCCAATTTAATCGGTTTTTTTTATTTATTATTTGATCAAAAATAATCGTTATTTTCGATTTTTATTTCTTCGATAATTTTTAACCGTCACTGCGTTATTCAGAAAATTTTTTAATTGTAGTTATGATCTGATATCAAAAAATAAAAATAGAAAATACTAATTATATTTGATCGAAGAAATAAAAATCATAAATCATCAATCAGAGTAGTCCTTCTCTTTATCGAAAAAATTTTTAAAATAACGGTTTCATTTGACCAGAAAAATTAAAATTCAGTTTAGCAGTTAAATTCTGACTTTCATTTAAATATCGTTAAAAATTCGAAAAGTTTATTTATTTTTGAAACTTCAAACTTCTAAATCAAAGATAATCGATTCAAAGTAATACTTGCTGTAAACGGTTAATTTTGCAAGAGAAAGTAGAAATTAAAATAATTTTCTTACTTTGCCAAGAAAAGTACTTTAAATATATAAAACGAAAGCATCAAAACACTTTCTGGCTCCATTCACTTTCTGCTAGTGAAAATTATAAACTTCGCGCTACCAATACATAATTAGGTATTTTTAATTTTTCATATGCACTGTCTAATTATAACCAATTTGCTACTATGCGTAGTTAGCTATTAGCATTTCCATCGTCCAACTCACCTGTGTGAATGGCAATTGCTCCGAATTGGCGCCACACTTGCAGACGCTCTGCTCGATGACGCGCATAGCAAAGCGGCGATGAGCCACACAAGCCTGCGACTCGCAAGCATCGCCATCGTCCAAGGAAATGTGCGAGTGTACACGATGTAAGAGTAGCTCAAAACATTCGGCGGCATCGCCAAGACAGCCCAGCGGAAAGCGACGACCAGCCAGAGGGCCACTGGCCAAAGCGCGACGCAAAGGTTCCGGGCATAAGGCTGGCTCTGAGCTGGTTTGTAGTTGTTGGAAAAGTTCCTGTAGAAGAAAAATAAAATTGAGAAAAAACAAACGAAATTAGCAACAAATAACAATAACAATTAATTCTAGCTAGAACGAGTTTTCTGTGCGGCATTGCAAATCAGTACATTCTACACATTCACAAGCGCACACATACACACCCTCGAACACCATAACACACACAAACACGGGTAGTTTTCTATTAAAAAAAAGTAATTTCAAATTCAATTAGACATAGCAGTTTACGCTTGAACACTCACAATCACCGCATTTATGCAACGATCACGCTCGCCGTACGCTCCATTGGCCGTCAGCGAGAGTAGAGTGTCGTTGCTGCCGAAGATGTGCTCGTTGCTGTTACTTTTCTTGTAGTAGTAGCTGTTGTTGTTGTTGTTGTTACTGCTGCCATTGCTATTGCTGTTAATTATATTATTCATGCTGCCACCGAACGCATACCCCCACCCAGCCAGCTCCGCCGTCGAGGCCACCTTCGCCAGCGCGGACACTTTGCGGCTGCTGGCGGTTTGCCGGGTCAACGTCGCCGATTTGTAGCCATCCAACAGCGGATCGTATGCCTTGCGTGGAGAGCTGCGCGGCAAAGTGCCATTGTTGCTGATCAGCTGCGCGTGTTGCGGATGCTGGGGCTTTAGGGGCGAGCTGTTGTTGTTGGCGGCGATGGAGTTGGCAGGTGTTTGCGTATAATGCTGCTGCTGCTGCTGCTGCTGCAGTTGTTGTTGTTGAAATTGTTGGTGTTGCTGCATTTGCTGCTGGAACTGTTGCATTTGTTGTTGTTGTTGCAATTGTCTTTGTTGCATCTGCTGCTTGAATTGGTGGATTTGGTGTTGCTGCTGTTGTTGCTGCTGCTGCTGCTGCTGTTGTTGTGCCACCGCACTCTGGTTTGCTCGGCCATTCTCTTTTGTTGCTTTGGCATCCTTATGATTTTCAGCGTTGCTATTTTTAGCATTTTTACTGTTGTTATTCTGGTTGTTGTTGTTGTTATTGTCATTATTTTTATTCGCGGTCTTCGCATCTTCCAGCGTAGTTGCTGTCGTTTTGGCCACTGTATTTGCCGGTTCTTTGCGTTTGTAGCGAAACTTAATCATTTTGCCTGATAGTTGTAGTTGCTGTTGTTGTTGTGTTTATCGTTGTCGTTGTTGTTGCTTTAAGTGATGGCGTTTCCGTTTCTGATTAGTTACCTCAAATTACCGACGTCAACATTGTTGACTTCCGTTCGCATTAGCGTCTTTCTTGCTGTTGTTGTTGTCGTAGAGTCTGTAAAATGTGGCAAATAAGTTTCGCTGACGACAGAAAATTCATTGAATAAATGAGGGAATTAGCAGGCCGTGGAAAAGTGTTGAGAGCTGGAGCTGAAATCTGCAGATACACGTTTTCTCAACGAGATGTTGCCGTGTAAGAAATTTACGATTTGCACGCGGAACTTTAATTTGATCTAATTTAATTTTATATAATAATTGCTTCAATGATTGGTTTTTTTTATTTAAATCTTTATCACTACCTTTTGTTAATCTCTTTAAAGAAACTAAAGATAAGTTAAAATTACTTTAATATATTCAGCCTTGCAATATTTCTATTGAATCTGGACCGCCAAGTAGTGGATTTAGGCATAGGAAGCCTTTAAACAGTCTAGGCGCCAACAAAGCCACCTCTTTGTCAGTACTTTACTTACTTCAATGTCATTTTGATTATTTTCAAAGTAGTTGCCAAACTATGTGGCTGCGTAATATCTGCTATGCGAAGCAATGGGTAATGGAAAATAGTGTTGTAAATGGAAAGCCGTACTCATACGTAATCTAATACTAGTATAAGGTGAGGCCGGCCAAAGCTAAAATTTGACTATATAAAGCCTTTTAAAATATGGTTATGGGTGGTCAAAAGTATGAATGCTTTACTGTCTGAAAAAACCGGGAAGGAATTTTAACTAAAATTTTCATTTTCACTCAAAGTCCAGTGAAAATTTAATTAGGACCGTCGATAAACTGTCCGTTATACACATTGGGGACCAAACGAGATTTACAACTCCCTTACATCATATCCAGTTGCTTATATCAAAGGGAAATCAACGCTTACCTACCAATACATAGTAAGTACATGGTTGGCGAGATAGAAAAGGCAGATTGTCCAGCTTAAGGTAGTTACTTTTCCGCTTTCGTAGATATCGATAGTACCATTGATGACACTGCCGGATAGATGGCACCATATTTCCTTGAATATTAGGGACATAAAATGAAGTTAACGGGGAGGCGAACTTTCTCTTTTACTTTAGTCTATCGTGATGGACTATTTCTTAACCAAACTATGTAGTAGAGTAGTGTTATTGGCTACAAAGACGAACCCGTAATTATTTATACAGGAAAAATCGGCAGTACTGTCGCAGACTTTATGGCATCAGCATAAATCTGCAAAGCGGTGTTCGTTACGACTAATAAGAAAATATAGACCGAATTTGGATGCAGTTATCGTTGGAGTAACAATGCTTGTCAAATATCTTTGATAAGAGACTAAATTGGATATAGAGAAAATACTCAACAATGAGGAAAATTTGGTCTGTGTAAGGAATTTTGCTGAAACATTACTCCGGTGAATGTAGGGCGGCCCAGACACAGTTGCAACGATAGAAATTTAATAAATGAGAAAATAAAACGCCATTCTGAAGTAATGTGAAAAGTGGTCCCATACGGGAACTGCTGTAAGGACGGATTTGATGATGCATTGGGCACTTTAAATTAGGGACTGAACCGGTTTCGAACCGAATTTATCGCTGTTTTTCTACTACCTAATTAACAAAAACTTTTACCGAATGGAAATTTTACACAAATATTTGATCTGAACCGAAAAGTGTAGCAAGTTTTATAAAGGTTTGATGTTCATTTCGAACACCTATTGATGGAAACATTTTACCATTTTTTCTTTTCCTAAATATGGTAATGAGAACCACGTTTGTTTACCATCTGACAATTTTGTTTTACTACGTACAGCGTATGACATGTATTGCATAAATTCTTTTTTTTTGTTTTTGAATTAATGACTGAATAAAATTAACGCAAGTATGCATAGGCACATATTTTTCCTTAATTCTCGAGCCGTTAAACCGAACAGAAACCCCGATTCAAATACTACAAGAAAGGTTTTGGTGAACCAATCCAAAGTTGCACAGATTGTTCGAAGCGCTGAACTGAAACAACCAAATTTTTAATACGGTTATCAGCCTTATTTTAAATCATCCTGCCTTTAGGGTAATATTGCATCGGTTAATAAATTTTTGTTTTAATTTATAATTAGTATATTCATTTGTAAATAAATTTCCCGTCTGAGTTCTTGCTCTACTTAAGCTCAGCATGACTCATGCCAGATCAAATTTCGTAACGAAGTCTTTCTGTTGGCACATTGTACTACAATTTCAACTTGACCCCATTTAACCTCCAAGAATATCCCACAAAGCGTAGGAAATCAGAGAAAAAAAGGCAGCGAAAAACAACAAACGCGAATCAAAGCGGAAAATATATGTAGCACAACAACAAAAATAATGATTAAATTAAAACAAATAAAGAAAAAAACAAAGAAAAAATGGCAAACTAACTGAACTTTTTGTAAGTAATGCGAAACTTGCTGCTGATTTATGAGATAAACAGACAAGTTAAGTTAACGAACCAAGAGTGGTATGTAGCAATGACTGTTGGTACAACGAATAGATCAAATGGAGTTTCATATGTATATATGTATATGTACTGATACCGATACATATGTATGCGTGTATAGAGTACATATGCAAAAAGCGTCTAAGAAGCTGTTGGGAGTTTCCAGCTGCTTTCAATGCCAGTGACTCATGACGCAAGAGGAACTAAAGAAACAAAATTGAAATTGCCACAACGATGTGTAGCATTGAAAGCAGACGCCCCGAGAGAAAAAGTAAAACAAAAAAAAAAATTGTTAAAACAGAAAAAAGCAGCAATATGTACTCGTACAAATTAAAAAAAACTGAATTAAAGTAGGTGCCGTTTGACAAAATTTAGCTACGAGCGTAAAACTATGGGGTGCATTCGCGCTATGTAGACGATAGCAGCATTATTAGCATACGAGTCGGCACATTACACCGCACCAAAAAAAAAAAAGAAAAAAAATCGGCGCACGGCGATGAGTATTAAGATATTTTTTAAAGGCAATTTTCGATTTTGTTAGGGGTCTCGTTTTTTATATTTTTCGCCTTATAGCGTAGAATCTTATGATATATAAATGTTCTTGTCTTTTTTGTTCCAAAGCTCATTGACCTCAAGAGCCCCCTTCAGGCACTTACCTACCAGATCTCATTTTTTATCACTCTCAAGTACCAGCCTAATGTCAGTAAATTAAAGCTCGCCAAAAATAATATAACTTTTGCTAAGGAAGTATTTCGAATCAAAGGCAATTTCGATTTTTTTTGAGTCGACAATAGGAGTCGCCTTTTTACATTCTACGGTATAACTTTGACATTTACAGTCGGATATCAAAGTATAATATATCGAAGTTTTGCGTGGAGAAGACAATATCGAAACATGTTTTTTGGGTTAACGTAGCGGTTGCCTTTCTATAATTTTTATTATTTACAGTCGGATTCTACAGTACGATGCATCGAAGTTTTTGTCTCGAGGAGACCCTATAGTACCACCCAACATTAGTAAAGTAAAGCTCACCGAAAATTAAAATTTTATTAAGCAAGTACTTATTCACATTTATTTTATTCCAGTAGAACTTTTTAATTTTTTTGCCCAATTTATGTTCGAATTGCCCTACAAAAAATATGTAGCTTAGACTTAGCGGTGTACGGCGATTATTTTTTTTTTTGCTTGTAAGGTGATACGGTCTAATGTGCATGTGTATAGCTAACAGCAAAGTATTATTACACAAAAGCAGATCATCAATAGCAACAACCACCAATCAGGCAGGCTATCCAGAAGGCAACCAAACTCTTAAACGTAAATTTACTCCCTGCAATGGGCAAAGGGAAGTAAGAACTTTTCAAACTCTCAATTCAAAGGAAGTGCTAAGTGTTGTCGTTTCGCTGCAAATGCGAATTTAAACGTTGCGGAAGCCTCTTAAAATGTTCTGCATACGAATTTAACACTTTGACTTTTTACGCACTGCCTGCAAGTTGGCGGGCTGGCACTGGGACGCGCTTCTAACCTATTTGAACTTTTGCTTCCATGCTGAGGTATATGTACGTAAATATAGTAAACTTCGAAGTGAGGAAAGTGAGTAAGTAAAGCGGTTAAGGGAAGGCTTGAAAGCTATTCATTAGTAAAGTGATGTCGACCAATGTTCAATTTTCATGCCAGCGGTGCGTATAGTTAGTGTGGTAGGTACATACGGGTATGCTATTAGTACTTTGCCCTTGAATGCATACATATGTATGTATGTGTAAAAACATGCAAATTCTTATGGCCTGCCATTTGCGCCTCAATTTGGCATGTGTGTGGCAGTTTGAGCGATTGGCGCACGTGTTGTCGCTTAAGTTGGTAAGCAAATGACGCTAATGACAGAGCATTATGTGTAAAAATAAAAAAGCAAGTGAAGCAAAAAAAAATTACAATAGTAAGGGCAACAGCAAGCCTGACTAATTTCGCTATAATATGACAACAGCTGGGATGTAAAATTTGTATAATAATAATAAATATGTATACTTTTCTACATATGAGCGCATGTTCTTGATCCACTTCTCGTTCTTTCAACTTTTAGCTTTTAGTGTGATATTAGGATACCAAAGCAACAGCAGTTAATTGCAGCTGTTTGCAGCGACTGCATTAGCAGCAACAGCGGCAGTCGGCAATTTGTCTTTGTTTTGCGGTATTGCAAATGTGGCATGTCTTTTCAAAAGTGTGGCTGTGTGGCATGTAGTGCAATTTATTTATTGCAACGCTTAAATATTTTGAACACTTGTTACTACCAAACAATCAGCTGTGCAGCGAAAGGGGAATTTAAAAAAAAAAACTAAAATCGTGTCAAAAGTTTCAAAGTACAGGTTGTTGTTGAATAAGTTAAGTGGCGTCTTGAATGGTAGCTTAAATGGGCGCAGATGCTGTTTGATGAAAAATTAAGTCTATGAAGTACCATTGGGAGTGAAAAACTTGCAAAAAAATTATGTTGCAAATGTTCTAGAGATTAAGAAAATTAAAAAGAAAGCAATAAAAAACTCCAAAAATATATGCCAACTTAATAATTTGCATAAAAGGAAAAAAATTAAAAAAAAAAATTTCTACATTTAAAAACATTATTTTTAC